CGGGTTCATCCTGCCCTTCCCTGCCTCACCGAGCCCTGCCCGGGCTCATCCTGCCTTTCCCTGCCTCACCGAGCCCTGCTCGGGCTCATCCTGCCCTTTTCTGCCTCACCGAGCCCTGCTCAGGCTCATCCTGCCTTTCCCTGCCTCACTGACCCCTGCTCGGGCTCATCCTGCCCTTCCCTGCCTCACCCGCCCCATCTCAGTCTCACCTGACCCCAGAACAGTGTCCGGATCTGGACCAGTGCCCGTCCCCCTGTGCTGGGCACTGCTGAGGCCCTTGAGTGCCGTGTCTAGTTCTGTCCCTCACTACAAGAGGCTCAGTGTGTGCACAGAAGGGCACGGAGCTGGACAAGGGGCGGGGAAGTCAGCCCTGCAGTTTCTGTACAAGAAGGTGCAGGACAGCCAGGCGCTGGGCAGGATCCAGCGGATATCAGCCATCAGCAGCCTCCATCCTGGAGCCTCTCAGTCTGCTGAGAGCCTCAGGTACCCAGCAGCTTCTGCTGAAGAGTCTGGGCTTCATCAGAGCCGTGGAATAGTTTGGGTGGGAAAGGATATTTAAGCTATCTGTTCCACCCCCTGCCATGGGCAGAGACACCTTAACCAGACCAGGCTGATCCAAAACCTGTCCTGGAAATGTCTCTGTGTTCTATGGGAATTCCCCTGAATTTGTATAGCCTTAAGATCCATGGGGAGGAGGGAGGAGCATTTTTTGAGGAGTGTTTTCTTTACCAAACTTCATTTTTGTACAATTTTTTGTCCCTTTAGTTTCTTCACTGTGGGGGCTTTTTATACCCTCTCTATGCCGTTCAGAAATGTAAATTGGCTGTGGGTTTCAATATAGAGACATTAATGCCCAGTTTTGGTTCTCCCAGGTGGAATTTTTTACAATGCTGCAGTGCATGACATAGATATTATCAGTTTGTTGCTGGGAGAGAGTGTGCCAGATACAGTATTTTCCCTGTGCCATGCCTTCTGTGCAGGTAAGAATGAGTATTTTGATGGTTTATTGGGTGCTTCTGGACTTCAGGGTTAAAACTGGGAAGAAAGAACAAGACCATTATAGCCATGACAATTGTTCCATCATGGAGCAGCTGAGCAAACAGGCTGGTGGAACAGAAGGCAGGTTCCTTGGGGGTATTTGGTGAAGAGCTCTACATTTGAGAAATCTCCTGATGTGTAGCACTTGCAGTGGAATTATCATTGAATATGAATCTGCAGGACACCAGGTTTAGAAACAGAGTGCAGAAAATACCGAGCTAAGGCTTGAGCTCACAAGAACGTCAATGAAATGTTCGTTCTCTGCTTTCTCTGGCCCTTCCCTGTGGCTCCCAGCACAAAGCTGTGTGTTTGCTCTGGGTCATGTTGGGCTGATATGCACACTTGGGGTTACCACACTCATTTAAATGAACTATAAAAGGTGGAAGGTGCAATTTTTTAAATGGAAATGCAGAGTTTTAATTAAGGTAATTGCAGCAGCTGCCAAGCTTGGCTGGCTAGGGTGAGGAGGGGCAGGATGCAATGCTTTCTTCCGTGGCACACATTGAAATGCAGTGGCTCTGACTGTTCCTGTCTGGCTATCACATGCCAGTTTTCAAGATATTTTGAAACTTTTTTTTAGATTTTTATTTAGTTACAACAACATTCTTGACTTCCTCCATTTCGAAGCATTAAGTTTATAAACTTCTTGCAAGAACATTTAGTTCAATCAATTTCCAATTCCTACCTGTGGAATATATACTCCTAAAACTAGAAATAGTGGTTAAATTTGTATTCTTTTTGGGAATTGTTTTTTAACAGTATAATTTTTCAAGCTCAGAAAAACTGTGAATTAATGCTTGTTCTCCATTCCATTCGCTACTTTTTAACCATTTATTGAGAAAAAAGGTTTTATATGTCCAGAAGCTGTTTTTTGCCTCTCTGTACTCGCCGTAGCAGATTAGTACACAATAGTGAGTTTCCTTTTTTTTTTCAGTAGCTTCAGGCCCTTTGAGGTCCTACAGTCGAAGGTTTACTCTGGGTTAAGAGGGCACTTTCTGTCCAGTTTTCATTTCCAGATGCAAAAATTCTCACATGTGCTTTTATTGTGTTGCAAAAAAAACCAACAAACCAAAAACTGAAAAAATTCAACAACAAAAAAACAACCCAAAATAAAATAAAAGAGAAACCACAGCTATAAAAATAACACATTTTCCAAAGATAACATTACAAAAAATACAATTCCTACCACGGAGTGATCCATTAATACTGCCGGGAACAGCCCCGGGAACGCTGGAAACGTGAGTGGTTGTTGCAAAAGCTTTAAAGCATTAAAGTGCTTTACTGAGCCGTTTCCTGGGGACACAGATTCACTGTCAGCCATGCCAGGGGAGTTCCCAACCCCAAAGGTTCCCAATCCCTGTGGTGGGAGAGGTGGGATGGCCTCAGGAATGGTGACTGCAGCTCACCAATACCCAAGGGAGAGGAGGGACAAGAGGCAACCTCTGTGTGCTGAAGGCTCAGAGCTGCTGTGGGACACCCAGACAGGGCCTTGGAGGAGCATCCCAGGCCCAGGGCTGTGGGTGCAGCACTTCCAGTGGTCACACTCCTGTCCCCCTTGGAGAGGGAGCAGCCACTGCCTGCCTGAAGGAGCAGTCACATCTCATGTGAAGCCTGGTGGGACTTGAGCTCTTCTTCTGCTATTGCTTAGAGGCTCCAGGGCTTTAGGAAGGGTATCCAGTTCCTTCCCCAGCCTGGGGGTGATGGGAAGCAGGTGAAAGGCTGCCTTTGGAGGTGTCCAGAGGGAGAGTGCAGCAGTGGGAATGTGCTGGGCAGCATCATCTCTGTGCAGCTTCTCTCAGGCTGCCCAAAATCTCGAGTGACCCAGGGCTGAGGGGGCAGAGACAGAAGCTCCCTGCCCTCCCTCCCACAGCGACAGCTTCTGTGACTTCCAGTGCCTTTCCAAGAACTGTTGTGGGACATTGCCTTCCCAAATGTGTAGGGAATAAACATTCAGGGAGGGAACACACCTATTTGCATCCTTGCTTTCTGTGAGGGCTTTTTTCCCTGTCTGAATCAGTAGAGAAACTGCAGCTGGAGAAAATGAGGAACAGATAAGAATTGGGCAGCCAGTCCATGCCACGCTTCAAAAAGATGGATTTACACCATGACATCCCAGCTTGTCAGGTCTGACCTGTCAACAAAACTCCCCAAGGAAGCAGGGAAGGATTATCCAGATCTCTGACTTCCCAGGACAATAACTCCGTCCTCCACCACTGCATGCAAGAGATTCAGAGGAGGGAAAAAACTGAGTTTTGAATAGATAAGGCTGGAGACAGGATTCTCTGCATGTTTACATGCTACAACATGGAATTAATTTACTTGACACTGCGGTGTCTCAGGAGTCAGTATCAATTTTTATAGCTTACATGAAAATAAATCTTTCTCCTTACAGCACAATGAGTTTACTGTATGTACATTCTGTTTATATACACCAACCTTTAATACAAGAACACATTGGTAATGGACAAACAGGGTCTTTCTGGCTCTACAGAGGGCTGAGGGAAGGGGTACATTTGGCAGTCCATGGAAAAGCAGGACATGGCTTCACACCAGTCTCTGGCAATGCCTGCACAACTCAGGGCTGAGTCTGTTGCAGTGACAAAGCCCTCTCAGTTTGGGACACCACGGAGAACACAGACGGTGAGCAGGGGTGAGAAAAATGTGCTGTCCTTACGCCGCTGGATGCAGGGATGCTCCAGGAAAACACAAATCACACAGTGCCTCCTGTGCCACGGGCAGGCAGAAATCCTGCTCTGGCTGCTGAGCTGGCTCGGCTGCCCTCCTCCTTTCCTTCCTCCTCCTCCTCACTTCCAGTTTCCTCCCCAGGCAGGCACCTCCAGCCTGGCTCAGGGCCTGCAGTTCCCCTGGATAACAAAATTAAACCTCTCCAGGCGCCCAAGGCTGCAAATACATTTCGAGGGGGGGGTTTGTCACCCCGCCGGTGTCTCGCTGCCGCCTCTGGAGCCCCTCAGTTGATCTCCCCCTCCGTGAACTCCTCCTTTATGGACTGTTTGCGGGATTTGCAGTCCGGGAGGTCGAAGCCGAAGTCGGCCCAGTCGTCGGCCGCGCCGCGGTTGGGGATGGTGATGGTGTGGCGCACGCGGAAGTGCACGGCCTCCATCACCCGCTGCCGCTGCAGCTCGCCCGAGCTGCCGATGGAGATGGTGGAGGCGTTGCTGCTGGAGCGGATCAGCTGCTGGGCCCCGTAGTCGTGGCTCTGCTTGAGCTCCTGCAGACCCCGCCAGATGAGCATCCGGTACTGCTCCGGGATCTTCAGTGCTGCGAGATCCTGCAAGGACAACACCGCTGAGGCACAGCTGGCAGGGATGGGACTCTACCAGCAGGACACAGCCCCAGGATATGCTTTTTGGGGGGACACGTGGGTGCAATGCCCAACAGAGCAGAGCTGGACCTCCCACCAAGGCCATGGGTGCATCATCCCCTGTGTTATTTCTTGTTCGCAACCCAGTTACTCAATCACAACTTTGCAGGTTGGAGACTTTTTGTTTTGGGAGGGGTTCACATCAAACTGATGTGGAAATGGGAGGGAAGGAAGGGATCATTCCCCTTGAGTACAGGTTGCAGAGCAGCATGTGGAGCATCCTTGTGGCTGTGCACTTGGGATGGCCTCTGCTCTGGTCCTGGCCCAGGAGGCTGGAGCAGCACCAGCCTGGAGCGCTGAGGTGGGTGACACCAGGAGAGGTGGGTGACCTCAGACTGGGGATGTGTGCCAGGACACACACAGCACGGGGGGGAGCTGCCAGGGATCCGTGTTAATGCCAACACAGAGACTCACAGGAGCATTAACTGGAGCAGACAGCGAGTATGCAATTAGTAGCTACAAATGCCAACTCAGACACACAGCTCTGCCCTGACACAAGTTTTGGCCATTCCTAAATGCTCCTGTGGACAGCTGACAGGTGGTTATGGAGTTAGTTCAGCAAATGGTCCAAAACCAGGCTCAGGTTACACAACTGGCCCCAGCCACCAGTGACAAATCATCATCTCTCTGCGGGGTGTTGTAGCTGCCAGGTAGAGACACTGCTACACCTGCCTGGGGCAAAACTAGGTCAAAACAGGATCAGGCAGGAGCTCTGTCTCAGTCAAAACATCAACTCGGGGATTTACAGGGTTTTCCATGGCTTAAAGGACTCAGGATTGTTTTTTGGTTTTATTTTTCTTGTTCCTCTGATGGGCTGGGGAGCAGCTCGGGTGCCACCCCTGGTACCAGCACCAGAGTGTGGCAGCAGCAGAGGCTGATGCTCTGGGCACACACAGATATTTCCAGCATCCCCTCCATGCTTTTTGTGACAGATTTTGCCTGACCTCAGCTATTTCATTTCAGACTTCAGCCTCTTTCATTCTAAAATTAGCAGGGAAAGAGGTGAGACAAGATTAAGCCTCCCTGAGCTATAGTGTGGTGTCCCTGCTGGCTCCCTGAGCACCTCAGCTGTGTTCTCTGTGCTAGGTGGAAAATTTCCCTGAGCTCTGGCCTGGGGATCTTTGATCTCTCTTGTTTCTGAGAGTCCAGAGGAAGCAGTCGAGACTGGTTGTGGGTTTTTGGTACTAGTTGTGATTTTTACCAAGGCCTGAGCAATAGCTACCTCCAAAGGACCATCAATGGGGCAGGAATGACAGATATCAATTCTGGGAACACATTCTGTGTGACGGGTTGGAGCACAGGTTTCCCTTCCTCCAAAACACTTTTGGTTTTGCTTTTCAGACCAACAGCTGTGGTAAACAAGTGGCAAGAACAGATGTCCCCAAAGCATTTACCTCTATGGATAGGTTCTGCAGGTGGTAAATATTCTGTAACCCTTGTGAGGTGAAATAGTCGATGCAGTTTGGACACCCCAATCCTGTTAAAAAACTGCAGAGAAAGTTTGGAAAATAAAGTGGCATTAAGTTCTCATGAACAAAAGCTGTGTCCCACTCAGTGGGACAGACCATGTCAGGTGGGGGATGTGGAGAGCTCCATGGGTGCCCCACTGGCACTAAGGTCAAAGCACAGTGTGGGGTTGTCTTCATTCCTAAAACTACAGATGTTTTTCTCCTGATTGTCTGAGATTCTGAGATCTCAAAATCCTGAGATTTTGGCTCAGGATCTCATATAATATGAGGGAGCTCAAGCTACTGGGGAAGGAGATCAGGGCATGCCCCGGGCCCTGCCCTGTGCAGATGCTGGCCCAAGGTCTGTCAAAACATTTGTGATCTTTTTAAAGGCCAAAACCTGCAGAGGTTTCAATTAAATTATTTAATTAAAAACTAATTAATTTAATTAGAAACCTGCAGAGCTGTTAATGCATTTCTGATTGAAATAAGCCACATGGACCCATTTCCAGGTGTTGCTGGAAGGGGAAGGGGGAAGCTTATAAAGCTACATGCCATTGAACAGGTAGGACTAGACTCTCTTTAGGATGTACTTAATTTCTAATTGATCAGGGATGGATTTCCAGGGAGGTGTATGAGGGAAGTGGGGGTTTCTGACTGATTGGTAGCTGGGTTTTGGTTGCTGAGGTGAGAGGAACAGCAGTGATTTCTCACTTGGGGCCAGTGGCCAGTTGACCAGTTGCCAGACAGATGGGAAGGTTAGAGCGAGGGACACAGCAAGGAACAGAGGACAAGACAGGCAGGACACCAGGTGCCTTCCTACCTGACGAGGCTGGGGTCGGCGTTGTAGGGTGGCGGGGGGGTGCAGTGTGACCCGGACACCATGGACTGGGATGAGTGGCCCCCATTCATTTCTCCGTTGGTCTGCATGGGGTGACTGTTCAGCATTCCAGGTCCTGGGCAGTGGCAACAAATGCAGCCATTAGACACCACCCAGACCTGATAACCCACACTCCTGGGCAGGGAGAGCCCTGTGCTCGGCCTGCTGACAGAGGACGTACCCATGGGGCCCAGGCTGGGTGCAGAACTGGAGCCGTGTTGGGCAGGCTGCCCCACCAGCTGGTTCACAGAGGGCAGCTTGTTGATTCCTCCTCCATGGACTTTATTAATGGGGGAAAGGACAGGGCCGTAGGAGGAAGCTGTCTGCAGCTGGCTCCTGTGTGGGGAGGGAACACACTGGTCAGACGGGGTGAGTGGGATGGAGCTGCCCTGCTCTGGCCTGGAGCTCCCTCCCAGCCCATCCAGCCTCTCTAGCAAGGGTGCTCAGGGGCTGTAGGGCTCTTGAGGGGATGCAGGGGTCTGGGAGTCTGTAGGGGTATCAGGGATGTAGCGGCTGTAGGGCTCTTGGGGCTGTGGAAGTCTCAGGAACTGTGGGGGTGTCAGGAATTGTGGGGGGTCTCAGCTCTTCAGGGCTCTTGGGGGACTGTGGGGATCTTAGGGACCATGGAGGCCTCAGTGATGGTGGAGATCTCAGAACTGTGGGGGTCTCAGGAGGCTGCAGGGGCCTGGATGGTTGGAGGGTTCTCAGGGAGTGTGGAGGTCTCTGGGATTTGGGAGGGTCTCAGATTGGGAGGGTCTTTGAGACTTTGGAGGTCTCATGTGCTCTGATGGTCTCAGGGGCTGTAAGGTTCTCGGGGCCTCTGGGGGTCTCAAGGGCTGTGAAGGTCTCAGGGACTGTGGGGGTCCCAAAGGCTGTGAGGATCTCAGGAGCTGTGGGGGTCTTAGGGCCTGTGGGGGTCTCAGGAGCTGTGGGGGTCTCAGGGGCTGTGGGGCACTCAGGAGCTGTGGGGGTCTCAGAAGCTGTGGGGGTCTCAGGGTCTGGGGCAGCACTCACTGCCTCTGCAGGAGCTGCTGCTGCTGCTGCCGGTAGGAATCCACCAGCTGCTGCGGGACCAGCTCCACCAGCTCCAGGCTCTCCTTTATCTTCATCAGGATCTCAAAGTTCTCCCGGCCTTGCACCTGGAGGAGGGAACAAGACCAGGACTTTGCTTTATTCCTGTCTCACCTGGCCAATTCCAATTCCTCATGCTCCCTTTTTTCCACCCAGACCAACTGTCACTGTGGCCAGGGACTGTTTGGGATGCCGCAATCCCTTGGACATGTGTGTCCATGGATGCTTTTGCTCCTATTCCCAAAATCCCTGCTGTCCTACAGGAGCCTGTGCAGCTCCAACCTGCCTGACATTCCCTCCCCAAGGTGCTTCTGGCAGAGGGGACGATGCCGCTGCTGTCCCAAGCGGATTTCTGACCCCATTGAGCTCACCCACACTTACAGGCACGTAGTACATCTCCTCCTCCCCGTGCCTCCGTTTCTTAATGCCAGTGCCCAGCGCTGGGATGCCCTGTGGGCTCTGCTTGAAGGCTGGAGAGGAGAGGGGAAAAGAATTGGTAGAGTCATGGAAGACAGGGAGCACCTCAAGCTGTGCAGGATGCTAAAACCATTCCCCTGGGGCCTGGCATAGCAGTGTCCCTTTGTTATTGTCAATAATGAATAAATATATCTGGCCATGAGAGCCATGCACAGGCATCTCTGGGCTCTGTAAGGAGAAAGGCGGGGTCTGACTTATAAGATTTAGTGGAGAAAGGCCAAAGCATCATCCCTGAGTGTGGATTTGAGCCCAAACTTCTGGAGGGCAGGGATTTCGGGTGCCCTGAGCTCCCCAGCCCTGTCAGGGGACTCACTGCGCTTGTTGGCGTTGCCGTTCTTGGCCGAGCTCTCGTTCAGGGCTTGCTGCTCTCGGAAATGATCCTCGTCGGCTTTGCGGTCCCTGCCGGGACAGGCACAGATCCGGCCCTCGAAGGATCTCCTGCCCAGGACCTGGCCGCTGGGAGAACAGCACAATCAGTGGCCCTGCTTCCCTTGGGGAGGGCACTGGGACTCGGGCTGGGCAGAAACCAGATCAGCGACCCTCAGCGAGCACCAGAGGCACTCCTGGGGCAGGGGAAGGCTCCAGCTGCCGGGCTGGGTCCCCGGCCCCTCCGTGCCAGCTGGCACAGGGGAGCAATGCTGTGCAATGAGCTGGGGCTGCCCCGTCCCGTTCCCTGGGGATGCTCCCTGCAGGGGAGGGTTCCTTCCCCAGCCCTCCTGCAGCAGGAGGGATGCCCATCCCTGCTCCCACAGCCACTCACTCTCTCGTCTCCAGGGTGATGATGATGAGGATGGGCCTCCTGTTCATCCCTCCCACGCAGCTGCTGTTGCACATGAAGTTGTACAGGATGGTGGTGAACTCGGTCCCCACCTGCCCGGGAGGGGAGAGCAGGTGCTGAGTGGGGAGTGATGGGGGGAGGCAGGCTGGGATCCCCAGGGAGTGAACACACAGGGCTGGACCCTCTGGCACAGGGCTGATGCTTTGGCAGGATGAGCAGGGGAACATTTGGGATAGTGTGGGGGTAGTCCCAACTGTAGAAGGACTGTGGAGCACCCAGGGAAGGAGTGGAGGGGGTACCCTGTTACACCCCATTCCCAAGACCAGGCTGCTCTGGGATGCTTCACAAGGCTGCAAGCTGCAGGTTCTGGAGTGTAGCTGCCACCAGTGCCAGGGATGAGCACAGAGTGGTCTTAGTGGCAGGGCAAGGGGGACATTGGGCCAAGCAATGGAGGGAGGGAGGCAGGGGCCAGTCCAAAGCAGGGAGGCAGGGGCCAGTCCTTCTGCGGGTACCTGCGGAGGCTCGTAGGGCACCATCACGCTTTGCCGCCCCGTCACCGGGTCATCCACGTACTGGGACAGGTTGTTGCCTTCCACCCGGATGAGGTGGCTGGCAGGGGCTGACTGGCCTGCAAGGCAAACCTGCAGTTAGAGCCACGGCTGCCCAGGGCACTCATCCTGTGCACACGAGGGGTGTGACACCAGGAACATGCGGCCCCCAGGCCGTGGGACAGCTCGGAGCCCTCACCGTCATTGAAGTCGCGGCCGAGCTCATGGTTGGGGCAGCGTTTCACCACCTCGGTGACGTGCTCTGCCTTCTTGTAGACGGGCATGGCCCGGATGATGGTGCCCGGGGGCGGCGAGGTGGACACCTTGATCTGGATGGGGCATGTCTTGGCAATCTGACAGTAGAGCTTCTTCAGCAGCGGGGAGTACTGGAAAACAGGGGACATCCCTCAGGTGAGCATCTCTGGTGGGGTGGAGGGTGATCCCCCATCCAACCTCGGCTTCCTCTGCTGCTCTGGTGTAAAGGCAGGGCTTCTTTCTCTTCCCTTTCCCCTGGAAATGTTGAAATCTGACAATTTCACCCTATGTGGTACCTGCTTTCCACGTAAAGCAGATACAGCCACCTCTTGGGGCAGGCAAGGGTTTCCCAGATGGGCAAAGGCTCTGGCAGAGCAGGGCACCGCTGCACTGAGACAGAGGGAATCTCACCGAAAATCAGCAAAACCCTCATTCGTGCATCACGTTTTGGAAACATTCCTGAGTCTGTTCTCACACACGGAGCACTGAGGGCACTGACACACCACAGCCTGAGGAAACCATGCTTGGTGCCATTAGCAGTGTCACAGCTGATTAGGCAGGACTGGGAGTTTAGTCCTGACACAGATGGGTTTGTCCTGATCCTGACTCAATCCTTTGCTGCAGCAGTGGTTCATGGAGGGGACGGGGCAGGGACACGATGGGGACCACTGCCCAGCTGGCTGTGGGTGGAGGATGCTCTGTGGCAGCTGGAGGCAGTGCCAGCAGTCACTCCTGAGTAGAAATGGTGTGTGGCCACCACATTCCTCCCTGTGAGGGCACAGTGAGTTTTGCTTGGTGGCAAACTTGTCTGACAAGGCCCTTGGATGGGAGAAGCTCCAGGGCCTGCAGCATGTGCCTGGCCAGAGCAGGGCTGGGGAAGGAGAGCCTGTCCTTCACCTTCCAGGAACTGCCCAGGTGTGAAGATGTGCAATTCCCTTCCACCTCAGCCATGCCATGCTGTTTTCCATCACGCAAGGAATGTGTTTGCTATACACCAGCCCACCCCTGTGCTCGGAGCAGCCCGTCCCTGCATGGCAGGGCATGTTCCTGCTCCAGGTATTTTATCTCATCCCCACAACACAGCGCCCAGTGCCAAAAAAATACCACCGTGCAGAGCATTTGTGGGGATGTTAAAGCTTGTCCTGAGCCATCCAAATACAGGTGTGCCAAGGGGAGGCTCTGCTCTCCCCACGTCGGGCAGTTCCTGAGCTGGGGCTGCCCAAAACAGGGGCTTGGCACAGGGCTGGAGGGTGTTCAGGGGCTGACAGTGATGGCTCAGTCCCCACTTTTCCTGACTAAGAGCATGTTCCAGTGCAGCTGTGATCATGCAGGAAGGATTTGTGTCTCCCAGTCCCGCTGCCCTGGCTGCAGGATAGATCCACCCGTGGCTGAGCTCCCACCACCAGGACTGGGACAGGGCAAACAACAGAAGCCATTGCCAGGTGGTCTCTGTGGAAGTTCTGGGAAGACATAAAGGGCGGAGGATCCACCAAAGCAAACAGCAGCAGCTCCTGCAGCTCCTCCAGTACTGCACTGGTGGTGGCCAGCTGCAGGTACCAGTTCCTGGAGGCTTCATGAGGTGTCCTGGGTGTCCCAAGATCAGAACCTGCTCAGTGCTGGGGGGAGCAGGAAGATGCTGTGGTCACTGGAGGGTGGTGACTGAGAGGTGTAACATGCACTTGAACCCGACAACAAGAATTAATCCTTATTTTTGTAGGCACTTGGACTCTTCCCAACAAGAGAGGATGCTTGGAAACCCCTACTGCAATCCCAAATTTTGCACTCATACCAGATGATGCTGACTACACCTCGACTCCATGGCCAGGTTAGCTTCCAGGTGTGATCCTGCATCCCCAGCAGGGATTCTCAGGGATCAGGCCTGAGCTGGAAGCGTGGGCTCCACTCACAGTGTGGTGACTCTGCTCTGCCTGGCTGGAAACTCCCATGTGGCTACAGCCCACGGGACCCACTCACCCACCACGATGGGGTTTAACACGCTCGTTTAGAAGAGCCACCATGGCTAAACAAGGGTTATTTGGAGGGGGCTCTTCCTTGCCAGGTGTTAAAATACTGACAACTCCTGTCAAAGGATCTTTTCATGTAGACATTCCCGGGCAGCCCTCAACATGCCTGGGAACTGTAACTGCTCTGGAAGAGCAGAGGTGCATTATGGCAAGTTCTTTGGTAACAAATTCTCTCATTATACCATGTTATGACATGGATAAATCTCTGTTAAATAGCAGAGTGATGCCCTGCAGGGGGAAGGCAGCCGCTCCGTGCAGACTTGCCTCTGCTGATAACCTTATCGTGTCCCAACAGCTCTGGGATCGCCTTCAAAGGTCCCTCCACAATAACAAACTATTCTTTTAAGGAACTCCCTGCTGGTAATTCTGGGCAAGAAAAGTCCAGGCTGTGCCCAGGGCGGTCGTGCTCCTGATTGCTCTCCCTTGGAGCTGTCCTGTGCCACATCTCCAGTCACAGCCAGGGCTGAGAAGTCCCACAGACCCAGGCTGCTCATGGCCAACAGGACAACCAGCATTGTGGTTTGGGGATCCAGGAGGTTCTGCATCCCCAGCTTGGCCATGCACACTCTCTGTAGGGGACAGCAGAACCTGCACTGTGTAGAGTGTCCCTGGGCAGACACCTCTCTCCTCCATTATTTGTATTTGATAATTATCAGCCCCATGCACATCTCTGCTGGGCTGTGCTGCATCACCTGAGGCCCTGGTACCTCCCAGCACAGCCATACCCTGCCCAGCACCCTGCAAGGACCACAGGCACCGTGTGCTCCTCAAGTGTGACATGAGACAGCAGCAGAGCAGAACCCAGGTATCAAAATGCTGGGATTTAATCTCCAATGGGCACTGCTGTTCAGCTCTCTGTGTGCCATGGCTGTGTTTCTGCCACCTGCACGGGGGGAACCTCAGTCTGTTCACCCACATCCTCCCCTTTTTGCAGTGTTTAAACAAAGTGACCTCTCAGGACTGGCCACATGTGGCAGCTGGGTCACAGCCAAAGCTCAGGTCACTTGAGCTGTGGCCAGCTTGCTTCTAGGATTAGGAACAACATTTTGGGGCACCTGAACCCCTTCATGGCAGCTCCAGACCTCAGCTCCAGGATTTCTTTCCCACCTAGAAAGAAGCCAGGGTATGTTCTGCCCTGGGCATCTCCCGTGTGTGTCTCCACACTCTGCTGTACCTGGGGACCACTGGTGTCTGTCTCCACGGTTACATCAGGACTCAGGTCATCTGTCTGTTATTGAGTGTTACCAAGTGTTTGAGGAACACAAATGGTTTCTGTGGCTGGTAGATGCTGGGTTGCTTGAACCAGCACAGGGCAGCAACAACACTGACAGTCTTCCCTGGAGCCTAGGAAACACAGAACCTCTGTTCCTTTGGGATTTCCTGTGGCTTCCAGGGTTGCCCTCAACTTCTGGGCTGATACTGTGATGCCAGTTCTGTCTCTGTCCCTTCCCTGCTACTGCTGTCTGTCCAGAGTACAAGGAATAAGCCAAAAAAAAAAAAAAAAAAAAAACAAAAAACAAAAAAAAACAAAAAAAAAACAAAAAAAAAAAAAAAAAAAAGGAAAAGCCAAATTATTTAACTCCTAGCAGGCTATCAGCTCTGGTTCCCCAAGAGCTTGGTACCACAAAAGGCCTTTAGATGTGTTTGAAATGCAGCTGCTCTTTGGGTGAGATGATGCATGCTGCACCACTGCCAGATGGAACAGGACATTAACCAGTCACCCCATGGTGCCACTGGCCACTATGAGGCTTTACCATGGTTATCCTGGTTATCCTGGTGCTGCTGCCCCAAGGAAATGCTCTGGACACCACAAGATTCCACTGAGTGAATGCCCTCAATGGATCGTGGATGCAGGGTTGATGTGGAGCCTCAGCATCCATCACTGCCCACCCTGAGAGAGGACCAGGAGATGGCTCCAGAGGCCACCACCACTCAGCCCCAGGGCTAGCTCCCCATGCAGGAAATGAGCAGGGAGAGGTGGCTTTCCCCGTGGATGCTGACAGCCTCACACAAAAAATAACCTGAATCCTCTGCTGGAAAGACTTCCTGGTGAAGTCCATCTCGCCCGGCCGTCCCTGGGCAGCAGAACCGCTAGGAGGATGTGTCCCAACAGATTTGGAGCTGATAAAATCTTATTTATCTTCAACTGTTGACACCTAAGCGTCTAGACTTGCCTGTTGGGGAAGGCGCAGCCAAGGCCTCCTTTCCCTCTAGAAGGAAATGATTTGCTCAACAATTGCTTTTTCCACAAATCCTCCCCACCCTCCTCCCTACCAGCCACCTCCTCCTCCTCCTCTTCTCCTACATTCCAGGCTTCTCATTAGCTTTAGCCAAGACGTGTCCAGGACTGCAGTCAATGGATCCCCAATAAAGCCACTGGCCTGGCAAGGGAGAGAGAAGAAAAGTGCTGCCTCCGGCTGCTAATTTCCTTGCACTCCCCGGCAAGCAGCTGCGGAGCTGCATCCTGGGACAGGTTGGGGCAGATCGCAGGCGAGAGGTGATAATAACGTGTCTGTCATCTTCCCCAGACATGTAGCATCTTGCAAACCGCAAATACCGTTAACCGCCTCGGACGAATCTGTTACGGCACATCCTGGAAGACGTGCCGGCGGCACAGCTAATTTTTTTTTTTTTCTCTCTGTCTAATTTTTTTTTAATAACTATTTTTTAATCACCGGCCTGTAAACTCCTCACTGAGCTGGAAATTCCTCCCCGAGCTACTTTGTTGCTCATTTACTACGAGCCAGGTTGGAGTAGGACTGGTGGCTGAGAGGAGAGGGGAGTGTCCAGCACGGCCTGAGGTACATGTCCAGCACACAGGCGGGCTGGATGGGGGGGATGTTGCCCTGGGGGTGGCTGTAGGAGGTACCCTGGTACCCTGTGCCTCCAATCCCTGCATCACAGTGGTGATGGATTGGGGTGGTAGCCATAAGAGATGTCCCAAAATCCATCTCCCCACGTCTCCATTCCCTATGCCTCAATAATGATGGGTTGGGATGGTGGCCATAAGGGATTCCCAACACTCACCTCCCTGTGCCTCCAGTCCCTGCACCACAGCAGTGATGGGTTGGGGTGATGGCCAGAAGGGATGCCCTCTACCATGGCAG